GAGGGGGAAGGGAGAGGGGGAAGGGAGAGGGGAAGGGGAGGAGGACGAAGAAGAAGAAAACAGGGAGGGGAGGGAGGAGAAGGATACGAGGGGGAGCACGGGGGGAGAGGGAGGAGGAGGAGGAAGAGGGAGAAGTAGAAGAAGAAGAAGAAGAAGAAGAAGAAGAAAGACGGACAATAATGACGGAGGAGAACGAAGAGGAGGAGGGGAAGGAGGAAGATGACCATGCGGACAACAACAAAGAAGAAGACCAGATATGGGAAAGGGAGACGATCACAAACATGAGGCAATGCTTCATTGGGACTCACTCACCTTCGCTTTTATACATGCAGAAAGAGCACTTTGCAACAAAATCGCCATCTCCTCCAAGCCTTCCATACTCAATCCCTGCAACAGATTCAGATGCTGAAGATTGGGTTAAGAACGGAACGGAACGGAACGGAACGGAACGGAACGGAACGGAACAGCGCCACTCAAAGTAACACAGCATTTGTAGAACTCTCATCCACGTAAGGGTGAGTTCGAGGTAGGACGAGGTAGGAGAGGAAAGCAAGAACTCAACCAGCATTGCACTGGCAGGTAACCAAAAGGAAAGCAGACACGTTTCTGTTTTTTTTTTTTTGTTTGTTTTCTTTTGCTTTTCTGTTTTCTTTGTTTTTTGGGAAAATTTGTCTGGCGCCCCTGTATTTTCCATTTATTTGCATCGCGCCCCTCTGACATGCGAAATACCCTGCTGCGCCCCTCTGACCAGTAGTGAAATGTTTCATAAACCCCTGGCGTCGTTTGGACCTCACATGTTATTGTAGTGCCCCTACCGGTACCCACAGCAAATTTGTGTCACGCCCCTACCTGATAGCCATTGGGAAAATTTCCGATATGCCCCTACCGGTACCGTCGATCTTTTCACTGTGCCCCTGTCGCCGTTGGACGCACTCAGGATCAACCTGACCGACAATAACCATGGACTGCTGCACCCCAGATCCGCCCTCGCATAGGCCGTCTGCCTGTCTGCTCTCTCTCTCTCTCTTCTCTCTCACACACACACACACACAGAGCACACACAAACACACACCACACTCAACGCACAACAGACACACACACACACAGTGACACATTCAAGTGTCGTCTGCCCTCTCTCTCTCTCTCTCTCTCTCTCTCTCTCTCTCTCTCTCTCTCTCTCTGTGTGTGTGTGTGTGTGTGTGTGTGTGTGTGTCTCTCACACACACACACTCTCTCTCTGTGTGTGTGTGTGTGTGTGTGTGT